GTGGTAGTAGTAGTAGTAGTAGTAGTAGTAGTAGTCGCCGTCGTCGTCGTGGTAGTGGTCGTGGTCGTGGTCGTGGTGGTGGTGGTGGTCGTAGTAGTAGTAGTAGTAGTAGTAGTACTAGTAGTAGTAGTAGTAGTGGTAGTGGTACCTGCTAAATAGTAGCATAAAATCCGCCGACCCCACACCGTGGGGTGAGGCGTGACTGTCGATGTTAGCCTTAGCCTTAAGCCTTAGCCTTAGCCTTAGTCCTTAGCCTTAGACCTAGTCCTTAGCCTTAGACCTAGACCTAGACCTTACCTCCCCTACCCCTCCGGACCCTTGTTGCAGTGACGAGGAAAGCGACCTGGATTGTCCAAGAATCTGCCATCCCAATTGATTTACATCTTGGGGCACCCTCTCGACCCGCGCGGGAAAATAAGCACGGTCCAAAATGGTCCTGGGCTCGAATCCCGGGCTGGTCGCGGCATGGTCCCGGCCAATGCCCTTGCTTTTTCGTAGATTTTGTCACGTTTTCTGTTGGTTTATGAAATTTTCAAAGGCTTTTCTGGCATTTTCCTAGGAATGCTCTAGGCTTTGTCTTTTTGGGTACCTGCTTTGGTGGTGCTGGGTTGGGTCTAAATTGGTAAACCTGGGAGGTACCCAAAAAGTCGACTTTTTGGGTACCCGCTTTGGTGGTGAAGGGTTGGGTCTAAATTCTTGGGCAATGATCGGGGTTCATGCAAGAGTCCGATGGTAAATCTGGGAGGTACCCAAAAAGTCGACTTTTTGGGTACCTGCTTTGGTGGTGCTGGGTTGGGTCTGCACTCTTAAGGCTGAGGCTAAGGCTTAAGGCTAAGGCTAACATAGAGCAAGGCTAGCGCTAAGGTTCTATCCCTTGGGGGTCGGCGGCTGCAGGCGGTAGCCTGGTAAATCCGGGCGCCGGCCAGGACGCCCGTGGCATGCCCGGAGGGCCTTCGGTGGTAACCGAAGGTTATAGACGCTCGCCCCCCCCAACCGCCGACCCTCGTCACCAAAACGGGGGGACCACCGGGTCACTGAAGCCCCTGTAATTTACAGTGTATCGTGTGTGGGAGGTATAAAAAACACTGTGTTTTACAGGGTTTATTGCGCATATCGAAGTACGACCCGGGGAAAACGGAGAAATGCAAAAATGCTGTGTTTTTCAAGGGTGGTGTTGGTAATGCGCGCCTGGCGGACAGGCTTAATCGACATTTTGTGGGTAGAGGCCCTCCAGACGACATAAATTGTCTAACATATCCTCAACATAGGCCCAAGATAGCCAACATATCCCCAACATATGCCCAACATAGCCTCCAAGATGGCTCAACATGGGGCCAACATAGGCCCAACATAGGCCAACATAGGCCTAACATAGGCCAACATAGGCTCAACATAGGCTCAACATGGGCCCAAGATGTGCCCAACATAGACCACATGGGCCCAACTTGGCCCAACCTAGGGCCAAGATGCGCACCAGATAGCTTAACTTTGCTCAATATAGGGCCCCCGTCTCCGACGCGGACCAGTTTCCCACCTTGGCACCACCCAGGGCCCAGTACGCCCCCGATAGCTTAACGTGCACCCGACCCAGCCCTACACAGACCCAAGTGGGCCGGCGCCCGGCTGTTAGGCGTAAGCCTTTAAATACCTACAAAAAAAGTACTAGGCATGAAATATCATGTGTTGCTAGCACGTCCTTTCTTTCATGGATAGCCACAAATTCCCAACCCTTTGCCCCTTTTTGTTGGAGCTTCATGACCTAAATGGGTCACTGCGATGTTTAGTTCTGCCCGGAAACCTCGTCAAGACCGGCCATGGCCGGGCCTCGGAGACTGCCATGGAATCCTGCACGTACATGGAGTCGCCATCTCGCGCCTGCGACCTGCGGGAGTCGAGTTCGATGGACAACAAGCGCATTCTGCACATGACATCACATCCAGGAAACAAGAAAAGAAGAACGTCGATTTATGAATATACTTTATACACATCCAAGCAATGCTCAAATGAGCTATCAAGGGGCGATTCAAGGCTCTTTCTCATCAACCCTACAGCCCCTCCCCGCGAACTGACGTCCCCCCTGTCCAGGCGTCCCTCGCTGGCTGGGCCGAGAGGTCGAGGCCTCGAACGGGTCACCCGCGGACCCCGGACCGACCCGGTCGGCGTCCGGAGGGTCGGTGGAACAGTCGTTACCGTTGCAGGCCACCTAATGGCTTCCAGTTCCTAGAAAGATTGATTTGTTTATGACGGGGGCCTCCAAGGCCTCCAACCTAGTAGCAATGGCCTCCAACCTCCTTGCGATGGCCTCCAACCTAATAGCGATGGCCTCCAACCTAATAGCGATGGCCCCCAACCTAATAGCAGCGATGGCCTACAATGTAATAGTAGCGATGGCCTCCAACCTACTTGCGGTGGGGTCCATAGTATGGCCTCCAACCTACTTCCGATGGCCTCCAACCTACTTGCGATGGCCTCCCAACCTATTTGCGATGGCCACCAACCTATACTTGCGATGGCCTCCA